TGAGAATAAGGGCATATCTGGAAATCCCACTTTCTGGTTCTTCCTTCTTTCCAGCCTCAAGCAGAGCACCTTTGTGTGTAGCTCCAGAAGGTAGCTCCAGAAACAGCAGCTGAAAGGCTTTCATGAACCTAAAAAGCAGCAGGGCTGTTCTTTGTCATTAAGAAGATAGTGAAAGGAGATGGTCACAAGGATGTAGATCTGATCAGGACCATGAAAGCCCGTACCCAGACATGGCACATAGGTGGCTGTGCAGGAGGGAACAGCCAAAGTGAGCCAAAGAAAGTAAAGTGGCCTCCCTCCCCTGGTTAACTTTAAAATATTCCTCTGGGAGAGGGGAAAAGAGAACAAATGTGGGTTCTGGAACAAAAATCAGAGATCAAGGGCTGCTATTTTCCAATGCATTTGATCGATTACCACTTCACATTAGACATAAGTGGCAAGAAACAGGTAGCTGCCACTGCATTTTGTAAAGAAATCCCCTGCCATGTATTAGGAGTGCTCCAAGAACACCTACCCCAGCAAATGCTTCTTGATGTGTACGCATGGGTGGGGGGGAGGAAAAAAGTCTTGTCTCAGAGTTTTTGAGGGTTTTTTTATTAGTCTGGGACCTGAATGACTAAATACTCAAAGTGGAATAGAAAGAATACCTAAATAATTTTGGGATCTAGCCTGTATCTGGAGAAAGTTCACAAATACCTGTTGTTGATCAGTGAAGACTGGAGGAGCAGGACAAATTTTGTATGAAAAAGAGGAAAAGGAACTATTTTATTAAGGAATCATACTGTTACAGTATAAAATTCTGTTAAAGGAGGGTAGGGTTGGTAAAGAAGAGTTCATCCTGGTTCCTTGTCACCATGATCACTCCATTCTTCTAGAGCTCACGTGTTAGCAGGGCCAGCAGGGACTGGAAGAGAACAACTGAGTAAGGAGAGTACTGAAGATTCATGCTGTCCGTGCAGAGCTGAGGCTGCAGTGAGGACATAGCAGGGGAAAGCTAAAAATTCCAGAGTCAGCTGAGCTGGCTTAGGCTCTATACCAGCGTGCAACATAAATACAGATATGAAACTGAGAATAAAATGATATAGAATTAGATACAGTCTATAATTAGAAGCTACAGCTGTCAAAGCAGATATGAAATCATATTTCATACTTAAACATTGATACTAGGTATAAAATGAGGCTGCCAAAGACAAAAGAGAAGGTTTGAGATATGGCTATGGTGGTACAAAAAGATACTGTCATTGAAAGAAGTCAGATTGAAGATGACAGGGAAAGGTGTAGCATCACAATTTCACCATCATTCATCACTTCCAGCCAGTTTAAAACAAGTTTTGACACTCACAGAATTCAATGATTCGCTGACATCAGTTTCCTGCTG